AGGATTAATGAACAGTCAGCTCCTTGACTTTCGGGGTAGGGCAGTGAAGTTCACGTTCCTTTTTTAAGTGATTATCCTCAAGCCTATCCCTCCATCAAATGTCCCATCCCGCCATCTTTAAAGCGCCGCTCGTCTGTAATGTGAGCAGAAAAAAAAGCGAGCGCTCGCCTCATGACCCTTAGCGTAACACTGCAGTCGGCAGAGCGTGCCTTTGTCCACCCCCCCCCCCACATCCCAGTCTTCTTCTTCCTCCCGCATGGCAATTATCACACACTCCACTCGCGCTGCCCTCCGAGCCAGAGTTGGAGAATGGCTACATTTATAATCATTTTTTTTTCTCTCTGTGTGCCCGTAGATTAATTTTCCAAGAAGGCCTGCTGTCGTAGGCAGGGTGCTGGTGCTGGTGCTGGTTTGGGGTGGGGTAGGGTGGGTGGCGGGGGAATGAGGTTGGAAGATTGGGGCTTTTTTTTTTTCCTTGACAGATCATTTTCCACACAGGGGTATCAGGGGGTCTGGCCGATAATTGGCATGCAGATTGCGGCTGATGGCGTCCCGCCACGGAAGAAAAGAGCCCGGACTAGTTAGAATAATGAGCCAGCCTGCCTGATGGATGGGCTGAGGAGGAGGTCATACAAAATGCCCCCCCCCCCCCCCCCCCCCCCCGACACACACACACACCTCAACACCTTACACCTCCCCATCCTCACAAGTTTTTATATTTCTATTCTCCACAAAAGCCCTGATGTTTCATTATTTCCGCTGTGTCGGGCAAATGAGAGCGTCCCGTCGTCCCTCCCGACATACCTTTGCGCTTTTTCCCAGCATGCAAGCGTTGCAGAGACGAAAGGGGGATAAAAATGAAGTCACAACTCATTAGGCGTCAGTCGGCCTTAAGAGACGACGGAGTTGTAATTACAACCCAGGAGTTAATTGCAGGCCTCTCGGTGGATTTGTGTGTCACGCTGTGCCCGGCGGAGAACTGTTTGGCCTTGGCGGAGGTCTGCTCACGTCTCGTTGCTCTTCTGGCTGGTTTGCTTGTTCGTCATTGACTAAATAAGTCAGTCATTTAGTTAAGTGGATGGTTAAAGAAAACAAAGCCAATTAACCTATGCAGAGTTCCGGTCCACTTGCATCGAGCCATGAAGTTAGTTAGTTAGTTAGTTAGTTAGTTAGTTCGTTAGTTAGTTAGTTAGTTAGTTAGTTAGTTAGTTAGTTAGTTGGTTAGTTAGTTAGTTAGTTAGTAATGCAGTTGATTGGTTGCTTAGTTGCTTAATTTATGGATAATCTACACAACTGAAATTTTGTGGGGGACATCAGACATTAGTATTAAAAAAAAAAACGTAAGCTACATTTAAATTAAAATGTGTATTTATTTAGCCTTTAGCAGCTAGCGACGAAGTCTCACACACAAGACACAAGGGAACAAATTGATGGTTTCACGGGCATTCTTACGTATGAGTATACAGTACACACGGACGATCAAAGACCTAATTGAAGAATAATGATTGGCGCTTAATCACAGTGAGCGGCAGCAGAGGAGGAGGAGGCTAATTGAAGTGAAAACAGCTACTGAGAAAGAGGATATTGTAAAAAGCTCCCATTGTCTAGCAGATTAAACAGGAGAGAGCTATTAGCCCAGTTAATTGGCTCGCTCATTTAGATGTGAAAGCCTAACGGATGCCCGCCTGTCGTCCGGCGACGGCCGCACTCTGTCACACCGCCCTGACGCGCCCTGATTGGTTAATTACTCGGGGGATTTTTTTTTTTTTTTTTTTTTAGTTTGATGCCATCCTTCAAACGTAACACGATGGGTGGATTTGTCGTTGCAGCTTTGGCTTTCTCGCTAATGCTGGTGTTCGCAATGACAGTGTGTGCGTGTAGTTTTGTGTGTGTGTGTGTGTGTGTGTGTGTGAGAGAGGAGAGAGAGAGAGATTCTACTATAAAAAATAAATATAATTACAAATACCTTTTTTTTTTTTTGCTAATTTCATTCTGGGTTTTAACTTATAACTAATAACACAAAAAACACAAAAAGGTCATGAAAATTAAATAAGACGTAGCTTAGGTACTTTTAAAAAAATGACAAAAAGAAAAAGAAAAAAAACATCGCTACCAGTGTTGGTGATAACAGCCCCGTGTATTGACTTCAAATGTTGCAGTATCAAAGGCTTGTGAGCACGTTTACTTCCTGCAGTGTTAGGCCTCGTCTGCCCTCTAGTGCTCGCCGAAGGGTACCGCACCTCACACCTCATAGCATAAAAACCCATTCGCTTTTTTTTTTTTTTTCGTAAAGGCGGAAGAAAATAAATGGGGCATTTTTCTACCATTTCCTGACACTGCCTTTCATCATTTCCAGGACACCTCTCCCTCTTTTTTCTCTCTAGTGTTTTCTTATTGTGGCCTGCTGCTAATGGAAGCTCTTGACTGCGCTCTCCAAAATTCCAAGTTGGCGTCTTTGTAAAAACTTTTCCCCTCAGCACCGACAAAGACGGCAGAAAATGAAGGCAGATTATGCCACAGCAGGTCGCGCTTGTCTGCGTTGTGGGATGGACTCTCATTTGGGGCTTTTTAGCCTTTTGTCGGCAAAGGCGCTAGCGGCATAGTAGCGACAATTTGTGTGGGTGGTAGCAGGGCCATTTTGTTCCAGACACAAATGTTACGCTATATCGACATTCGCATACAGGAAGGCTTTCAGATCTTTTGAAAAAGTGAACATTTTTAGTCCCACAAATACGCCTTATGGTTGACGGGTTAGTTTGTCCGTCACTTAAACACGGTTACAGTCCACATACATGGCCAGAGTCTCCTGGTTGCTTAGTTAGTCGGTCAGTCAGTCTCTTGGTCATTTAATTGCTGGGAAAACTTCACAGCTAATGTCGAAGCAACTTTGTCAGGAGGTTAACGTCCACTTGAATTGGGGAAGTGGGTGGGGGGGTAGTCAGTCAGTCAATCAGTTTGTTCGGTATCTGGATTTTTAGAAAACAAACAAATTAACTGTTTTCCGTCAAATTTGTAGGTTACAGCCATCTTGCAGATGGGCACAGTTGTTGGTTAGTGAGTCAGTCAGTCTCAATTAAGTGAATTGGAGATTATATTAATGCTAAATGGGGGTACATAAAATGATACAAAACAATACAATAGATCCTTGAGCTGTCAGCGAAAATATTTATCTTTCTATCCATCTGGAAACAAATGCGGCTCATTAGCTTGCGGCTAATTAGCTTGTTTCAGTACCTGCCAGAGCCCAGATTGAAACCCCGAACTGTGAGGCAAACATGTTAATAACCACCATGTTGCCCTTAACTTTTGTTGTAGCAGGAAATTAATTTCAATTGAGCACGGAACGAGACGAAAACAAATGCAAACAATGGAATGCGTGTCTGAGGCTATCACACCAGAGATGATCAAAACAAAACATCAGGGACCAAGCAAGCAATGTGTTGTTTATCCTATTAGCGTTATCGGGAGTAAACGCGTTGGTCATCACGGTCTATCCACGCTTGTGTGCTACGTTATCTGCCGGCCTGCAGCACAAGCAACATGAATGAGGTAATTGGCGGCCGCCTTGTTTCCACGCCATTGATTCGGGCGAGTGTACACTTTTTCCTTTTTTTTAAATTTTTTTTTTATTAAAGGCTTTGTTGCAGTGTGACGAGAGTGTTGCTTCCTCCTAACCCCCCCGGGAGGTGTCTTTATTTCCCAGGGAACGGACTTTAAAGGCTTTAAAATGGTGTGCGTGAAATCACATTTCTTGATGGGCACAATTAATGGAAGTAATAAGTGTGCAGCCAGAATGGATCAGCTAATTCTTTTAAAGTTTTTTTTTTTTTTTAAGCCTCACAATTTGAAGGAAGGAAGGAAGGAAGGGAATACCTGCAATGCTAAAATTTTATCTCACTTACTTTGTTCTCATACTTGAGTCTCTGTTGTAGTTAATGTACTAGAAATAACCCGGTGATGACAATCTATTGTCTCTGTATGATATAAGTGACAATGTACGTAGTGGCACTCGGATTGGAATGGAATTGTATGCTGTGACTGCATGGTGTCGCAAAAACGGAACGTAATGTCGCTAAAAAACTAGCAATTCAATGCACTCTAACGGTATGACACAACTAACAAACAATGTAGCTGTCAACGTGTATGATCTCGCTGACAATATATTGACCGCTCACAGTGTGTGTGTGTAACGGTACAAATGACAATGTCCTGTTTTTGTACTTCAATCTCTACTGCAGTTAATTCCACACACAAAAAAAAAACTATCTGGCAGCTCAACGTAACTGTATGGTGCAAATTACAATAAAAGCTACCTGCGTAATACTACTGCATGTTACAAATAATTACACTAAAGAATGTGAAACGAGTTCAACATAAGCATTTGATAACTCTTAAACCAAAGTCAACTGAACCCATTACTGTACAGATACTCCAGTTGTTGGGGTTTTTTTCTGTTAATGCAACTCTGGCGCTATCTAGTGGCAGGAAACACCATCACGCCCGAATTCAAAAAATCTACACGGATAGTGCAGAATGTTATCTTTTATGACACTAGAGATGACGAAGGTTCTCACACTGTACTGAAGTAGAAGTACAGATACTTGTGTGTGTGTGTGTGTGTGTGTGTGCGTGCGCGGGGGGGTAGGGCTTGTAATTACGGATTCAGTTTATGTATTTAAGTACAAGACAGTCTGAAAAGTACAGTACCCACGTAAAAAAGTATATATTAATTGATAACAAATCTGTTTCGACAAAGTAATGATTACAAAGTTAAATCTATCTAATTTGAAACCAAGGCAGTTAAAGTAACAAGTTATTCAAATATCGATAGAATTTCAAAGTATTTATACTTTGTTACTTCCCAACACTCGCGTTTCGTAACATCTTACATTTTCCAATTGAGAAACTTGAAATGTCATCTAATTTTAAATACAAGTTTCAGATAATACCTGTTTGGCTCCAATCCGTGGCGCACTGCAGCTCACACGTCAGATTGTCTACCTCCATTTGTACACGAAGAAGGATGCGGAAACGACGTCACTCGCCACTTTTAGCAACAAGCTAGCAGTCGAGTACTAACACCAAAACAATTGTTTACGTTCACCTTTGACTGCGTTTTCTTCACATTCTTGTCAACGCATTATAGTTGACGCGAACAAGAGTAGCATGTAGCGGAGAAGCCAACAAGTTGAACTCCACTTGAACGTGTATCAAGTCATGGCGCCAAACATCAGATTTTAATCTCAGATTGTGGGGGCGGAATCCTTTAAGTTTGGTGAGACGTGGTCAACGTCAGGCAGCAGCGACGGTGCGTGGGTCGCTGAGTATTTAACGCCAGTAGCGGACCGGACCGGAGGCGACTTCCCTTCCTCGCTCCGAGCGGTGGTGATGCTCGTCGTGGGTGCTTAATGGGGCTCTTCAGGGTCATGACGCCGCCCAAGTTGCAGCTTTTGGCCGTGCTGACATTCGCTGTCACCATGCTCTTCATCGAGAACCAGATCCAAAGACTGGAAGAGTCCAGAGCCAAACTAGGTAAGTTATTTGGAAAGTTGGAATTCAAGGCTGCTCGACAAAGACCTTTATTAAATAATAATAATCTCTGGTTTTAATTTGTATTCCACATGAAACCAAACACAGGCTTTTATACAGTTTTTTTCTCTGCCCAGTATTAACTTAAATAGGATGGTTCACACTTACTTTTTTTATAGATGATCAAAAATATGATACAATAAAAAGTTTATTAGCCTGTCAAAGTGTACCTAATCAAGTGTCCAGTGATGTAACGACTGTTAGGAAGTAGACGCCCCCACACTTCGGGATTACATTGTGGAGAAGTAATTATCTAATGTCCTCATCGTGGCCTACATGTCACCTAATGACCTAAACATGTTTAATAGACTTAAAGATAGCGATGAAGCGTGGTAAGTCAAATACATTTCTGTCCAAGTACAGTTCAGTTGTGTTTAACTTTTAAGCTCATTACGTTGATGTGCGTTTATCCGACAGAGCGCGCCATGGCCAGACACGAGCTTTCCGAGGTGGAGCAGCAGCGCCACGGCGAAGACGGCCGTCGCGGCCTCTCGGAAGAGGACGACGATGACGACGACACGGTGATCATCTATAACCGGGTGCCCAAAACGGCCAGCACGTCCTTCACCAACATCGCATACGACCTGTGCGCCAAGAACCGCTTCCACGTGCTGCACATCAACACCACCAAGAACAACCCCGTCATGTCCCTCCAGGACCAGGTGCGACCCCGTGCTTTTTAGGCATCCTAACAAAACCTTGAACTGTACGGTGAATCCCCGCTGTATGATGAAAAGCAACTACAGACCACAGCGAAAGCAATGACAACACCTTCTGGTTCTCAGTTTGAGAGCGGACGGAAAAGACGAGAAAAAAAGCAAAAACAAAAGGTGGACTTTGTCTTTTTGAATACAGATGCGTTTTGTTCACAACGTCACGTCCTGGCGAGGGATGAAGCCCGGCTTCTATCACGGCCACGTGGCCTATCTGGACTTCTCCAAGTGAGAGCCGCCACCTTCCTCGCATACTTGTGCTAACACTAGTCATGCTAGTAAGGCTCTTTGTTGTCAGGTACGGCGTTAAGGGGAAGCCCCTGTACATCAACGTGGTGCGAGACCCCATCGAGCGCCTGGTGTCCTACTACTACTTCCTACGCTTCGGTGACGACTACCGGCCCGGCCTGCGGCGAAGGAAGCAAGGCGACAAGAAGGTGCTCCTTCGCTCCTGGGAAAAGGGTTTTGAAACCCGCATCGTACGTTTCCTCTTCTGCGTCTTTCAGACCTTCGACGAGTGCGTCGCTTCCGGTGGCTCTGACTGCGCCCCCGAGAAACTCTGGCTGCAGATCCCCTTCTTCTGCGGACACCAGTCAGAGTGCTGGTGAGAACAATTTATTTGTCATGTGCTTTCTCAGGAGGAAAATAGCACAGTCTAATGTTGCACTGCATAAAAACAGAGGGTGGTGACCTACTGAAGTATTTTATGTATTTTTTGTATTTCTGTTCCTTGACACAAAAACGGGGCATTATTTCAGATGAATTTGATTATCAATTATTTTGCAGTATAAATCACATTTATTATCGTTATTACCTCAGGTTATCAAATTGCAACACAGATGCTAGTTTGGTTAACTCCTCTATGGTGTTTTGCATTGTTTGTTAGCATTAAGCTAAACCAAATGAAATAAGGCAAAGCTGTGCGGTTGTTTTATTTTTAATTTGACATTAAATTTTGACTGGGAGTGGACACAAACGGCATGAATGATTTGTTGGCTAAGCGCCAAACTGCTGCTTGAAGTGAGATGAGTTCAGCACGCAGTGCTTGCATCAAATCTTTGGCTTCCAAATCAGAGCAAAATCTCGTCTGCGGGACCGCTGGTCTCTGGAAAACGCGCTACATGGACACGCCGTGAACGAAGACATTGGTTGCCAAATGCGTTCAGGAACGTGGGCAGTCGCTGGGCGCTGGAGCAGGCCAAATACAACCTGGTCAACGAGTATCTCCTGGTGGGCGTGACCGAGGAGCTGGAGGACTTCATCATGATCCTGGAGGCCACGCTGCCGCGCTTCTTCAAGGGTGCCACCGACCTCTACAAAACGGGTACTGACACGCAAACCTCCTTACGGCCCATTGCGACAATAGTACATCTTCAAGTGTGAGAAAATGTCAAGCTCATGCCGCCACATGTCGCAGCCAACGTCTTACCGGCGTGGTATCTGAAAAGCCGAACCTTATCGGGATCAATCCCACCATGTGTTGCGTGACGTATCTGGACCACACAGGTGGCATCCGTAAAGCTGAAGTTCGCGATGCCCGATATCGCCACACGCCGCGGTCGACGTCTACGTCTCTCGACGACATTCGTATGATCTGTAAAGCCGAAGTTACCCACACGAGGTCGTCACCAAACACCCTGTTGTCCTCCCAGGCAAGAAGTCGCACCTGCGCAAGACCACCGAGAAGAAGGTCCCCACCCGGGAGACCATCGGTAAACTCCAGCAGTCCAAAATCTGGAAGATCGAGAACGAGTTCTACGAGTTTGCACTGGAGCAGTTCCAGTTTGTGCGGGCGCACGCCGTCCGAGAGAAGGACGGCGAGCTCCTCGTGCTGCCGCAGAGCTTCTTCTACGAGAAGATCTACCCCAAAGCCGCCTGAGGAGCAGCGGAGGGGAGGACCAAGACACACATGCTGGATTCCAGGACTGTTTACAGGTAATAAATAGTGTTGTTTTGTTTTCATGATGGGGTAAAACTGGACTGTGAAACACAACAAAAGCGACTTTAGCGTCGATGAGCACATTTCAAGTGGCTGCTGAGGAACTGCCATGCTGGTCAAAAAGATGAGGAGTATTTTTATACGATACATTTCTCGAGCTCGTTTACAGAAACGCACAGCGAGACTTCAAAGACAGCAGTGGAAATGTGAACAAACTGCTTTTAATGGAGCAAATATCAGGACCGTAAGCTCGCGTCGAACAACATCGACATCCGAATGGTCTTTTGCACAAATATGGACCACGTGGGCCCAAGTATTGGGACGCGGCTTTTAAGCGATGCGTCAATTCGATGCGACGTCCGTAAAGCTGCGGTTCACGTCAATCAATATCGGCAGGCGTCTTAGAGCACAGATATTTTACAGACTTGTCACCTATAAGGCTTGAATTTCCCAAAACGTATATACCACGGTCGGTGTCTGTCTGTTTGTTTGTTTTCATGAGGAGGTCTTTGTCCCAATACTTTTGACTCTGTATCGTGCCATCATCGGCAGTCGTCCATCTTAGGGTCGATTTTTGGAGCGTGACGATACATGCGGTGAGTTCAGGGTCGGAGATATGATTGTGCCTTTTTATGGGGATTATTAATATGATCGCCTTCTCGTGTTGGCACTCAAAACAATCATTTTTGATTTTCTTTTCTTTTTCTTTTTGGTATTTCATCATGTCCACTTCCATTTCAGACATAAACACCTACCGACAAACGTTGTCTTGGTTTTTCTTACCGTGCTTTGTTACAGACCCAGCCCAATAGATCTTTATTTGCGCAGCTTTGGCTGCGACAAAATGCTTTTCAGAACATTTAACAAAATAACCATCATACAACAGAACCTGTGACATCAAACATCGACAATTACACGAGCATAACAGCTATTCCTATGTACACGGTGACATTGAGATAAGGGGGGGTATACTTTTTTTTTTATAATGCAACTGGGGTAATAGTATATTTCAGAGGGGAAAAAATAATTATTTTGAAGAAATAAATGGTATAATTTGGGGGGAAGGCAAATTGGATAATCTGTGGAAGAAAATGTGTGTTAAGAACATTATCCATCTCAGAGGGGAAAGGTTCTACTACGATGTGAAGACGATTGTATATTTTGTGAGAAAAATAAAAGTTTTTCAAAGAAAAAAGTGTAGATTTAGTCTTGCTGTCATCAAGGAAAATTAGGACGAAATATCAAATCGTGTGAGCGACGATAACTAAAACTATAATGCCATATTGTTGACGAATAAAAACGGGACTCCTTCATTTTTGCTCACCAAAGGGGGACATGTTGAAATCTCAGACCTGTCGTAAAATGACATCTTCTCCTCAATCCCGACGGGCAAAGTATTATTTGGATCAGAAGAAGAAGACGACGACGAACTATCTGGCAAATGTGTTTTGTTGTGTGACGTGCAAAATGTCATCAGTTTTCCTCGACTAAAATAGTCATGGAGAATTCTGACTAAAATAAGAATACGCCTAAAAACGGCCAGACGTTTAGTCGAGTAGAACTTGACAAGACTAAAAAGATGTTGAACGTGACTGAAACTCATAAAAACTCAAATGACAGCTTGACACAAAGACTCGGCAAACTAAAACAGGCCGCCTCAAAAAACACTCGTGTAGTCATGATACTGAGGTCATGAAATTTTTGAAATTGCATTTCATTTTTCACCGAATAATTTTTTGCATGTAAGGTTGGACCTTTTTTTTCCTTAAAAAAAGTCTCAAAGAAAAGTACCGGTAATTTTTTTTTTTTTAATATTTAAACTGTAATGTACTCCAAGTGTATTCTCATAAGATCGCAACATTTTTCGAAAACGAAAACCACTTCTTGAAATATCTGACTTGAATACAGTATTACCACATTTTGACTTTTTAACAAAACGTTTATTGTAAGACTGTTTTTTTTTCTTTCTAAAATATATGACTACTCATAAGGTTACATCGTCACAGCATCAGTGTTTTATTTGTCCTTGGATAATACTGTACCCCCTTTGCCATTTTGTCCCTGCTCACTCCTCATCAGTGTTTGTCACAATAACCTGCGCGTGTCAGTCATCAGTGTGTACTTGATGAGCTAGAACCCCCCTCACCAAATGCCTCTCACAGGAACGGTGATCCACAAAACTCTGTGAGCGAGGTGTCCGCTCGGTGAGTTTCACGCTCCAGCGGTCCGCGGCACCCGTTCGCCGCTTTGAGGCCGCCAACACAAAAAAAAAAACGGAAAGTCTGGCCTGTCTGAGGGGAGGAGGGAAAAAAATGGAACTCAATTAAGCATTTTGCCGCCGGCATATTGGAACATTGTTTCATTAAGCAGATGAATACAGTCTGATAATTACTCTGTCTCAATTAGAGGGAAAAACTCTATTGATTGTGGCTGATGAGCTTGAAGGTTAATTAGGAACACAGCATTTCCATCCAATTCAATCGCGGTTTCAAGACCTTTCCAGTCAACGACAAGCTGCTTTTTGCTGTCATGAAAATGAGACCAAAGTAGTACCCCCCCACCCCCTTCTTTTTTTCTAAACTTTTGCCTTTACATCAGCCAGTAAGTGACCAGCAACAGTCCCCTCCAAAAATATTGCAACGGCTAAATATCAGTCATCATTTCACCAGGTTCACATCGTGTGCATTTTGTTTTAAAATTAAAAGTTTTATTATTCGCCACCAGAGGTCGCCACGCCTCTACCTGTAGCGTCTTGCTCTTCAGTCTGGCCTGAGAAACAGTTCAGCAAGTTGCTCCGAATGCACCTGAGCTCAGCCCAACGGAACACACTAATAGCGCATTAGCATCAGCGCCACAAATGACGCCATTAGGCTCACTTGGACATCAATATTCTCACTTGGCCTCGGACAATTTGTTCCGCTGGTTGCGTGTAATGATGCCACTGGCGCAGAATCGGGAGAATGTTCTGTGAACAGGCACTTAAAAAAAATAATAATAATGACGAGACTCTCCAAAATGAGCACAATGGTTTCATTACGCTTTATCTCACTTTACGGACAATTTAAGGACCGTTTCTTTTTTTTTTTTTTCAACACAGATGCGATATGGATTACCTCAAGCCGCGTGATCATATTAGGAACGTTTTGTGACATTTGATTTTGAGGACATTTTGGCTGTGTTCACGAATATAGGTCCCATTTGCCAGATAGCATTTTTTAAAACGTATTCCGTACCCACCATTTTCAGAAAAGACAACTCCTAGAGTGCCAGCCATTTTGGAACATTTGACTGATTTTCCAAGACCCTCAGAAAACTGTGTTCTATATTTATATAAATTCATCAAATCTACCAAGTGAGACAATAGACTCTCTGCTATTATTACATTAAAAAAAAAGTCAAAACACATTTCCGGCACTGGTTGTTAGCATACAGTACTTACATACATACACACACAAAAAAAAAAAAAATGAAAGTACATTTTTGGCCCTGAGTGAAGTGCTGGAAAAAAAGACAAAATGTAAGAAAAATGCTAAAACTTGACAGACGTTTTATTGAAATCGACAGAAAATTACATTTTTGATTTTACCAAATATAAACTAATATTACCCACCCATCAAGACTCATGTTTCCAATCTAGTGACTAATGTGTACCGGTAACTTAGACATCAATGAGTTATGTGTGTTGAACAAGAAAAATCTTTGGAATAGCTGCTCGCTGTAGTCACTGATGCACCCCTTTCACATCAATTTTCAACAGCTTTTGAAGAGCTCATTCTTGAAATTAGAAGTGTTTGACTATTGATGTTAGATAGCGGCGTGCATATGAAAGATTATACAGTATATGCAAGTGGGATCCAATACCTCTTAAAATGTATTTCATGGAATTTAATGCCTCATTTAAAGTGGGGGTGGGGGGGGGATCTGATTTTTGTCCTCTGACTGCAACCTTCACACTGCGGGTTCTTCTTGCTCCATAAAGCAAACAGAGCAGATCCGAGACAGCTTGTTGGGCCCCCACATGGCCAAAGGGGACCACCGACCGTTCAATGGATGGGTCGCTGGGTGGCGTGTATGACTCGTGTTATATGCAAATTTGTCAGAACGGGAGGTAAAATGGAAGCCAGCATGTCAGAGGCAGTGAGCCAAGAAAGCCTTGGTGCAGATGATGGATGGAGCTGGGGAGGGGGAAAAAAGATGACGGACGCCATCATAAAGCTGGGCCAAATTCATCCCTTAATGGATACTTGCCTTCTGGTCTGATGCACATTAAAGGTCCCGCAATAGGATTAATGGCTGGCTATGCTAAGGCTGCACTTAGGCAGTACTGAGCTAAATGCTAGCGTCACTGAACTAATCATTTGATTATCTGCTAACGTCATATTTCCCATTTTGGATGTTGAAGAGATTCATGTCCAATATCACTTAGTTTATATTTATCCAACAACTGGTAGCTACTCACCAAGTTGCTTTACTACCACGTTGCCAAGCCTGCTTATTTAGCAATTGAGCTGGCAGCTTCTCAGCAACCTATTTTGCTAGCATTGCCCCGTGACTGAACATATTTAGCAACCTATCTGCTAGCTATTCACCTATGTATGCATTTGATTGCTTACATAGTGACTGAGATGAGTAGTTTCCAGGTATGCAACGTGGGAGTGGAATTGGTTGGTACGTATAGCTATTAGCTACTAGCTAGATTGTTAAGTTGGTATGGAGGCAATATAGGTAGCTCCAAGCACACTCTGCTCCACTTCCACCGTTTGGAAACTCAGAGAATTGTCCAAATGTGCCGTTTGGTTATTCAGAGTTCCACAAAATAGGAGTGCTGAAGCGTGCTCTGGCCACCTAAGCTAGGGACACAGTGCATTCAGAATATCCAGCAGCACAGAAGGAAACAGTTCAAGCATGAGCTGCTGATTGGTTTGTAACATATGATACCTTTGGCTATTAATGGCAACGGAGCACGCTCTGCCTCTCCGAACACACCCGTTCTCAGAGTCATTTCCGAATTCACCCCGAATAATGATTTTGGTAAGTAGCTATCAGCTAGGTAGCTTCAAAGGCGATATGCTAGCAACATAGTGTGAGTAGCTACAAGCTACGCTGCCAAGTCGGTATGATCGACGACATGCTAGCGACAAACGTGAGTAGCTACTTGCTAGGTTGTGAGCATGTTGCGTCACAAAGCAGAGGAGCTACCAGCTATTTTGCTGAGCACGTAAATCTACCTGTCGCGCTAGCATGTTGCCTAGCTACCTATTGAGCAGCGTCACCTGTTTGAAGGTGAGCACTGTGAACATAAGCTTGTTAGATTTGTCTCATATGAAAGGTTTGTGACCGGTGACCATCCACTGCAAGAGAAGCGTTGGCATATTCAAGCCGGACGACTTTATGGAAACACTCATCAATTAAAGCGGCAGAGGGGAAAATGTGTGTTTGCTCGGCTGGGAGTTTGGAGGGAGCATTTAATAAGCATCTTTCATTTACTGACAGGCGGGACATGATGTAATAGCTAATGGACAATACGAGCCTGTGTGGCGAGGCTGACCCCGTGCGGGGAAACTCTTAATTAGATTGCTCTATTGTCGTTTGACCTTGGCGGAAGAAGACACCCAACACTGCTGCTGCTGTTGCTGCTCCTCCGCTATTCTGCCCACCCTTCCCTCTTTCTCGTCCTGCTGGAGGCTGGCGGAGAATCAGCAATTGAATCCATTGTGTGTCGGTGCTGATGAGCTTTGCAGAGTAGATAATGGATTAAATTATTTATCTGCTATCCCCCACCGTCCCTTCTCCTCCATCCCGCCTCATTGTTGCCTGCTCTTTGTGCTGCTGCAGCGCGACACAGGCGCAGGCTGAAGGCCTTGATCACTCGCCGCCTTTCATAGATCTAATTTTTCTAATTAGCGCCTGAATGCCGAATGGGCT